CACACATTCTTGTGACCAGATAGTTTGATGGGAAGTACTCGTACGTAGTTGTTAATGATGAACGATTCGCGACAAAGAGTATCCACCACTTCCACGGGTTCACCGAGCACACATTAATCAAATCTAATATAATAAGGCTCACGAAAATTCAAACTGTGACTTTGAATGCGATTGATTTCTGCGGGAAATGTGGCCCATATTCGGATCTTAATCAGGACAGGAGCAAATCAACTTTTTCAGCAAGTCAAAACAAAAAGAAAATGGGCTGGTCGACAGGAGGTGGTGGTGGAGCTAGAGGACGAGTATAACTACGTACGTATAAATATATTCGACGTGTAACCCGATTGCATAGAACTGGCAAATGTGCCACAACATATGAAGAAAAAAAGTGTAGCATATGTGCATAGGTTATGTGGAGGATGCTCTCGGGGTCCCCACCCTAAGATAGTAGGACGGAGCTCAGAGTCAGCAATCCTTTGGGGGGCGGTGTCCCGTTCATCGGATCGTACGCCATTTGGACATGGTCAAACGTCCAAGGTGTCTAATACACCTGGATGCCTAATTGAGCCGTTGACCACTGACAGCCAGGCAAGTGTGGGTGTTTGTGGTTCGCACGCCTCCTCTTGGTTGGTTTGGAATCAGGGTTTTTAACCTACTCCCCCAAGTGAACTGTCAGTGGCTCACCGACCCGGGTATAGCTCCGGATGTCGGCTTTTCGTCGTTTCACTATGGTGAGAAAACACCTTCACCATGTGAAGACAGTGTGTAGAGCTTCCTCAGCAGAGGCTGTGTGAGAGGCTTGGTTGTATAAGAGCATTTGACGAGGTGCTAGAGAATATTGACGAGCCACAACTCGTTACAGCCACACGTGACCATGTTCGGGCTTTCGAGGAGCATGGGTACGTATTCAACCACTTGTGTTCATCTGGTTTGGTCAACCAAGATTACTCACCTGCTGCGTGTGCATTTTGGTTGCTTAATATCACAATTAACTATTCCTAGCCCAAATTAAAACGTGACATAGGAATTTGAATGGCTCAGGACTTAGGCGATTCGATGTGAACAGTTTATCATTTGTGCCTCTTCTTCTCCGTATCTCCATTCCCTCGTGACCGGGTGTGTGTTTCAGTGAAAGCATTGTGCGTACAGCACGTGCTCTGGTCGACGACACACAGAATCTGGTCAGTGGGACCGGTGAGGATCAGGCTCGGTTGGCCAGCACAGCACACACCGCTGTGGAACGCGTAACACAACTCGCGGATGTGGTCAAACGTGGCGCGGCGGTAATCGGTCCCGGTCAACCGGACACACAGGTACGTGATGACCTTATTCGTCCTCACTCATCGTATGCTGTCTG